AGTTAAAGAGAATCAATGAACGCAAAGAAACAGAAAAGAATTATATCTAAACAAACAGCTTTGAAAAAAATCAAAAATTCGAATTTTCCGAGGGCAATATTTTTTGTGCCAGAAAAATTGAGTGGTCGCTTTTTGACAGTTTTGAGATTAAAACGGTCAAAAAAACCAAAAATTCGACATTTTTGATATTTTTGTGCAAGAAAATTTGAGTGGTCGCTAATACAGGGGAGCTGCTTTCCACTGCCCGCTATATCTATTGATCCCACAAACCAGATTGAGGAGGGAAGTTTTCGAGAAAACGAAAAAAAGAGGAAAAAATGGGTCAAACAATCACCCACAGATTTCTCGAAGGCTGTAAACAGAGGGTAAAGTAAAAGGAGACTAGGTGAGTATGCAGGCACACAGGGGAGTGGAAGGTCTTTCCAATGACACCATTTTTGAAAATCGTTTGAATAGTTTTTGAGCAAAAAAAATTAAATTTTCCACAAGAAATAGAAAAAGCCTCCAATGCAGAGGAGCTTCTCAGAACCAGTTATTTCGATTGAACCCATCATCTCAGATTTGGGGAAGTTCGGTTCTCGACAAAAGTATAAAAAAACTCGAATTTTTTTCCGCAAAAAAAATTATGAGGGAAAAAACATAGCCAAATGACAGTTAAAGAGAATCAATGAACGCAAAGAAACAGAAAAGAATTATATCTAAACCAACAGCTTTGAAAAAAATCAAAAATTCGAATTTTCCGAGGGCAATATTTTTTGTGCCAGAAAAATTGAGTGGTCGCTTTTTGACAGTTTTGAGATTAAAACGGTCAAAAAAACCAAAAATTCGACTTTCTGATATTTTTTGTGAATGAAAATTTGAGTGGTCGCTAATACAGGGGAGCTGCTTTCCACTGCCCGCTATATCTATTGATCCCACAAACCAGATTGAGGAGGGAAGTTTTCGAGAAAACGAAAAAAAGAGGAAAAAATGGGTCAAACAATCACCCACAGATTTCTCGAAGGCTGTAAACAGAGAGTAAAGTAAAAGGAGACTAGGTGAGTATGCAGGCATACAGGGGAGTGGAAGGTCTTTCCAATGACACCATTTTTGAAAATCGTTTGAATAGTTTTTGAGCAAAAAAAAATAAATTTTCCACAAGAAAGAGAAAAAGCCTCCAATGCAGAGGAGCTTCTCAGAACCAGTTATTTCGATTGAACCCATCATCTCAGATTTGGGGAAGTTCGGTTCTCGACAAAAGTATAAAAAAACTCGAATTTTTTCCGCAAAAAAAAATTATGAGGGAAAAAACATAGCCAAGTGACAGTTAAAGAGAATCAATGAACGCAAAGAAACAGAAAAGAATTATATCTAAACCAACAGCTTTGAAAAAAATCAAAAATTCGAATTTTCCGAGGGCAATATTTTTTGTGCCAGAAAAATTGAGTGGTCGCTTTTTGACAGTTTTGAGATTAAAACGGTCAAAAAAACCAAAAATTCGACATTTCTGATATTTTTGTGCAAGAAAATTTGAGTGGTCGCTAATACAGGGGAGCTGCTTTCCACTGCCCGCTATATCTATTGATCCCACAAACCAGATTGAGGAGGGAAGTTTTCGAGAAAACGAAAAAAAAGAGGAAAAAATGGGTCAAACAATCACCCACAGATTTCTCGAAGGCTGTAAACAGAGAGTAAAGTAAAAGGAGACTAGGTGAGTATGCAGGCATACAGGGGAGTGGAAGGTCTTTCCAATGACACCATTTTTGAAAATCGTTTGAATAGTTTTTGAGCAAAAAAAAAATAAATTTTCCACAAGAAAGAGAAAAAGCCTCCAATGCAGAGGAGCTTCTCAGAACCAGTTATTTCGATTGAACCCATCATCTCAGATTTGGGGAAGTTCGGTTCTCGACAAAAGTATAAAAAAACTCGAACTTTTTTCCGCAAAAAAAAATTATGAGGGAAAAAACATAGCCAAATGACAGTTAAAGAGAATCAATGAACGCAAAGAAACAGAAAAGAATTATATCTCAACCAACAGCTTTGAAAAAAATCAAAAATTCGAATTTTCCGAGGGCAATATTTTTTGTGCCAGAAAAATTGAGTGGTCGCTTTTTGACAGTTTTGAGATTAAAACGGTCAAAAAAACCAAAAATTCGACATTTCTGATATTTTTGTGCAAGAAAATTTGAGTGGTCGCTAATACAGTGGAGCTGCTTTCCACTGCCCGCTATATCTATTGATCCCACAAACCAGATTGAGGAGGGAAGTTTTCGAGAAAACGAAAAAAAGAGGAAAAAATGGGTCAAACAATCACCCACAGATTTCTCGAAGGCTGTAAACAGAGGGTAAAGTAAAAGGAGACTAGGTGAGTATGCAGGCACACAGGGGAGTGGAAGGTCTTTCCAATGACGCCATTTTTGAAAATCGTTTGAATAGTTTTTGAGCAAAAAAAATTAAATTTTCCACAAGAAATAGAAAAAGCCTCCAATGCAGAGGAGCTTCTCAGAACCAGTTATTTCGATTGAACCCATCATCTCAGATTTGGGGAAGTTCGGTTCTCGACAAAAGTATAAAAAAACTCAAACTTTTTTCCGCAAAAAAAATTATGAGGGAAAAAACATAGCCAAATGACAGTTAAAGAGAATCAATGAACGCAAAGAAACAGAAAAGAATTATATCTAAACCAACAGCTTTGAAAAAAATCAAAAATTCGAATTTTCCGCGGGCAATATTTTTTGTGCCAGAAAAATTGAGTGGTCGCTTTTTGACAGTTTTGAGATTAAAACGGTCAAAAAAACCAAAAATTCGACATTTCTGATATTTTTTGTGAAAGAAAATTTGAGTGGTCGCTAATACAGGGGAGCTGCTTTCCACTGCCCGCTATATCTATTGATCCCACAAACCAGATTGAGGAGGGTAGTTTTCGAGAAAACGAAAAAAAAAGGAAAATCTGGGTCAAACAATTACCCACAGATTTCTCGAAGGCTGTAAACAGAGAGTAAAGTAAAAGGAGACTAGGTGAGTATGCAGGCATACAGGGGAGTGGAAGGTCTTTCCAATGACACCATTTTTGAAAATCGTTTGAATAGTTTTTGAGCAAAAAAAAATAAATTTTCCACAAGAAAGAGAAAAAGCCTCCAATGCAGAGGAGCTTCTCAGAACCAGTTATTTCGATTGAACCCATCATCTCAGATTTACGGAAGTGCGGTTCTCGACAAAAGTATAAAAAAACTCGAACTTTTTTCCGCAAAAAAAAATTATGAGGGAAAAAACATAGCCAAATGAAAGTTAAAGAGAATCAATGAACGCAAAGAAACAGAAAAGAATTATATCTAAACCAACAGCTTTGAAAAAAATCAAAAATTCGAATTTTCCGAGGGCGATATTTTTTGTGCCAGAAAAATTGAGTGGTCACTTTTTGACCGTTTTGAGATAAAACGGTCAAAAAAACAAAAATTCGACTTTTCCGATATTTTTAGTGCAAGAAAATTTGAGTGGTCGCTAATACAGGGGAGCTGCTTTCCACTGCCCGCTATATCTATTGATCCCACAAACCAGATTAGGGAGGGTAGTTTTCGAGAAAACGAAAATAAAAGGAACATATGGGTCAAACATTCACCCACAGATTTTTCGAAGGCTGTAAACAGAGGGTAAAGTAGAAAGAGACTAGGTGAGTATGCAGGCACACAGGGGAGTAGAAGGTCTTTCCAATAACACCACTTTTTGAAAATCGTTTGAATAGTTTTTGAGAAAAAAAAATTTCTCCGCAAGAAAGAGAAAAAGCCTCCAATGCAGAGGAACTTCTCAGAACCAGTTATTTCGATTGAACCCAATATCTCAGATTTGGGGAAGTGCGATTCTAGCAAAAAAATAAAAAAAACTCAAACTTTTTTCCGCAAAAAAAGTTTGAGGAAAAAAAACATAGCCAACTGACAGTTAAAAAGAGTCAATGAACGCAAGGAAACAGAAAAGAATTGTATCTTAACCATCAGCTTTGAAATACAAAATAATAAAATATAGCACAGAGGCAAGGCTGCGCTTCGCAAACACTTCCGACAACACGAACAAAAAACAGCTCTATCAAATGAAAAAAATAAAAAGTAGAAATAAGCCAAGAATTATCAAAAACTCGGCTAGGTGTCGAATTCGAATCTGCGACCTAGCAAATTTGAATCCCTGCACTAAACGCTCAGCCACGGATTCTTACAATCCCAAAAACCAGCCATCAACGCAGATACATATGCTAATAAACTGCTAATTCAATGTAGCAAAAACAGCACCAAATACAAAAAGACCAAATTTTGCATGTAATAAATTGGAAAAAAATAAAGCCAAACTATGTATAAATTATGCATTTCAAAAAAAATACATTGAGTTGGAAAATTTCTGAAATTGAGCTTTTTATCAATATACTGCTGTTTGAAACAAAGAACTTTTTTCAGTTCGTTTGATGAATTGAAAATGCATCAGCTGTGTTAACTTTTTAATAATCAAATTTCATTCGCGACTTAGGTTGGAAAAAAAGAGCTCGTACTAATACACTTTGCTTTGCAAGTGTAATGATTAAGACTTTTTTTGAATAAAAAAGTCAAGTTGGGAAAATTAGATCAATAAGCAATTTTTTATTTCGCTGGGAAATCTGGAAAAAAAATTCCACTTTCGAAATTAGAATTCGCTCACCTTTTACATGACCTTTATGTTTTGACCGTTCACAAGTGTGGAGTTTTCCTTCCTTTTAACAAAAGAATGGAACTAAATTTAAAAAAAAAGCGTCAAAGCGCGAAAATCAAATCAACAATAAAAATGATCACGACCTACATAAGTCCTACGTTCATCGACTCTTGAAAATCAACGCGCAAAAAAATAACAAAAACACTACGTAAATACGTATATAACTGAGTTCATGTCACATTATCAATATCTGTTTCACCAACAAACCCTGTCCAAATCCGCAAACTCATAAAATCTACAAAAACAACTCGGCATGCGCATGTTTGGAATAACTGCTTTGTGAGAAGTACCTTCGTCTTCTCGATATTTGCTCTTCGCGAGATCATACTCGTATTGGACCTCCTGGCGCACAGTCCGGTGCTCCCAAAAGATGCTCATAAATTTCTGCTGTTGGATGAATGAGTACCACAGTCCAAGTCTAACTGCCACTCCACCTAGAGAGAGAAGACATCACCAGATATTGGAAATCTATCAGGAAAAAAAACATTGAAAATACATCATCAAAAGACCTGTTAGGACGAGCTGCTACAATAGGTACATATTTTTTTGTAAATTTTCAGAATTTATTGACCAACAAGCCATGCTTTTTCGGCCTACGAACCATAAATCAACTACTTTTCATGATCCATAGGCGTTCATAAACTAATTAGATTTTAAGGCAAAAAAGTTATTAGATTTTAAGACTATCTGGTTGTTTTTCAATTGACCTGAAAGCTCTTTCAAGTTCAAAACTTTTTACGACTGCCATTTTCTTGAATAAATAACTCAACTTGAAAAATCCGAATCCGATATTATTATTCATTTTAAACCAAAAGTCAACAGCTTTTGTCGTGCAATCAGCCCTTTTATTATTGGGGAGCCCAATTTGCATTCCACTTGGCAAATGAAGTTGAAAAGAAATAAAAAATCAAACCGCAAAAAAATATATACTTGAACGTGAGCAACTACTTTTCATGAATACTTTTCTTCGAGTATTTTTCAGAGAGCTAGAAAAATTTTTGACCAGTTCAAGAAAATTCAACAATTTTTTTTTTTTTGGAACTTGCGCCCTCACAAAACTCCTACATCTTCCCCTGTCCTGTCGAGCTATGTTACAATCGTCTGCATCGCCGCATTTACGATCATAACACTTTAATTAGCCTCTGCAAACAAGTTCGCTTCGATTTAACATATTTTAAAAACTCGCAGTTTCTCAACGCATTGCTCTTTATCAATTAAGTGACTCTTGCTAAAATGAAATAAACTACCTCCGCTTTTTGTTTTTTTTTTAAAATTTCATATCTTTTTTACAAAAATTGAGAGCAACTTGAGGAAACCTGTGCTTCTCCTGTTAATCCTAAGAAGAAATATACTGAACTTACATGTGATGATGGCCCCGATGTATGTGAGTCCGACTGAGGAGTGGAGGAACTCGATAGATCTGGCTGCCACGTGTGTGGGAAAATAGTAAGTGAAGCCCAGTTCACTCATAGTCTTCCCGACCTCAACTGCTGTTAAATATAAAAATTGAAACTACGACAAAACAACCAACAATATACATCGCAAACAAGCAAAAATAAAGAGAAACTTCAGCCGCCTATTAAAAGTTAACATCGATGATGCCCACACTTTATGTAAGTGCAAAGTGATATGTTTTTCTCCCAGTAAAACATAGTTTTAAGACCAAGTAGCTTGTCCAAATTCAAGGTAGATGAATTTCCGAGCCGGAAAAACTGATAGCCTACGCAGCACGGTAATAGGTAATTGTAAATTTCTCCAGCCTTTATTATCCCAAATTTCGCCATTGTAATTATCCCAAATTCTCGTATGTAAGCGTAAAATCGTGAGACTTCCTAGCGCCCTTTAACATGTATCGGATAGTTTTTGATAAAAGGAAATATTGACAAACTATGAATTTAGGGCTGATAATATTAAGTTTTACAATAAAAGTGATATATGAAATTAACGAATGCGACACACAGCTAGTCTAAATTCAATTTGGAACAATTTTGTTGTTCGGGACAACTCGCAGCTCATAAATAACTAGTATTACAATCTTAGGATCAAAATTTTAATTGAGCAGTTTAGATAGACAGTTCAAAATAGTGGTGGGCGCGCACACTCTGAGAACACAAAGATCCAGGGATTGAACCACACACTCAGCAAATGTTCTTTATGACATTAATCTGAATAAAAAAACACCAAGTATACATACTCCTCGCTTTCTCCTAGGGACGGAACAATAAAACACCAAAAATGTGCGCAAAAATGAGCGTATGAGATGGAACTCGTAAACATTGTTGAACAGGTAATAAAACACAAGCGTTCTTTCTTTGTGCAAAAACTCGCTTACTCATTATTGCTGCAATTTTCTAAAATGACTGAATGTTTATACTGGAAGTGGTTTTTATTCAGACCGATTTCTTCTTAATTGACCCTTCATGATGATTTTTGTTCCTACTTTCCAAAAAAGTAAGGAATATATATATATATATGTTCGGGGTTTTTTTTTTAACTCAGACCAGTTCTCAAAAATATTGCCCTCGGGGGATCGCTCCATGGATCCTCGTGGTCCCTGAAGGATCGCGCTCAACACTAGACTTTCCTGACTGAAAGATTGCTGTGAAACACTCGCTAAAAAACTAACGTGACTAAAGGAGCGCTTTGATAATTTGATGCTTGCTGAAAGTTTTACGCGCATTACTTATGCGTGGCAAATTATCCCGCACCACAAAATCGTTTCAAAGTCAATTGCGGCAAGCTATTGGTCTTTTCCATACACGAGTCATAATATTCAGCTTAAAATTCATAGTTTGTCAACATTTCCTTTTTTGTTTAACATCTAAAAAAATTGATGCCCTGAGCTTCAATAATACGGATATTCACTTTCGACAACGTTTCTAATGAAACTATGGGTGCGTGAAAGTTACCAATTTGGGGTATTTAATACGCGCTATTTACCAGTTATTAACGCGTAGCGTGTGAAGCAAATGAAAGCAATCCAAATTGATTTGAATTCGATTAATTGCTCCAAATAACTTGTTTTATTAGTTCCAAATATTTGTTTTATTAACGTCAGAGCTTAAATAATATGTCACATTCTTCCACAGAAGATTGTCCAGAGTAAGAAAAACAGCTGTTCATGACTCTGAAACAGTTTTCGTACTCATGCGATTGAACCATTTAGGGACCTCCTAAAATATTGGCCACATGAATTTGCGACTTTTAAACACCGACAAAAAATCTTGACAATTAAAAAAACAAGTTCCGCTTCGCTTGCGCAAGAATAGTTATGAAATAATTGTAAGCAACATATTACGATAGTTAGAAATCTGCTCACTTGTCTCATTTATCCCATTTATTGGAGGTAGAGAGGCCAAAAACTTGGACGTTGAAAGCTGGCCGACTAGAGATGGATTTGTGACCAAAGATCGGAAAGATTGCACTCTCAAGTTACCTGGATGCTCTTTCGAAGAGTTGAAAACGAACATTGACGATGGCCTCGACTTGACGAGTCGCAAACAAATTCTACACGACATTTTTCAAATCTCAATTTTCTGATTCTATTTTAGAAACATCAACCTGAAAATGCTGTTTGATCTCGTCAAAAAGTCAGACATTTCGGAACCCAACCACAATTGTGACAAATGCAGGACACATGTGCATTTAATTTGCACATTGTTATCTACATAAAAAGTATATGAAAGAAGCAAAGCCGAAAACACCGCTTTTAAAAACAAAACGGTGATTTTTGAAATATACATTTTCGTTGAATATAAAAATTATCATTCCCAATGGCCTTATGGAAGTTTGATGACTTCGGTGATCTATCTTGATATGCATCTCGAATTAATTTCTCGGTCTCAAAACATTAGACATTGGACATTTTTCTCCGACAATAGGAGAGGCGTTTAAGAAAACTAATTTTGTTCAATTTGGGAAGAATTAAATTACATTCTTTAGTATTCAATAAATAATTCGTACATTCAGTCAGAGAATATACCGTTTAGAGCACCTATTTTGTATGTTATTTTTTATTTGTGGTAATTGCGATTTAAAACAGTTGAATTGTTGTCAAATTTTAGATCGAATCGCCATAAGCTGTCATAAACTAGCAGAGAATATTTTCAGCATAATTTCAGCACAATATCAGCAGTTCTTTCACGTTTGAGTTGAGATCGTATCTTTGGGGTTAGGATACTCTGCGCACCTTTGATCAAGTTAGTGTTTCCCAGATCCCATCTAACACTTTCCAAGTACCTCATAGTTTGAACAGTTCTCCAATCCAGCGATTTTTTCATATAAATCACTTTTGGTCCAATACTTATGAGCTTCATATCACTTAATTTAAATTGGCGTTCACTATCGAAGAGCCAGGACATAAAATTGGCACTATTTTTCTTTTGTAAATCGTCGAGAGAGAATTTTGTCGATATTGCTAAAATCTGTAGACTCGGCTTCCATCTGATAACTCGTGTGATCAAATCCAAGCATATGGGAAACGAATATGCGTTCAAGTTTGCAAAAATTCCAACAAAATTGAAGGTCAGTGCCTTCAAGTTATGAAGTGCCATTTTTTCAAAAAACCATGAATCCAATTCATCTAAACTCTTTAAATCGAGAGACAAATGACTAAATTGACCGCTATTTAAAATCGTTGGTAGCATATCATAGTTGATCGCCAAAGTGGAGCAGCGACTAGGCAGCTTGTCCAAGCCAAGATCTTTTGGACGTTTCGCTAGTTTGTCGGGAAAAACAGCAATCGAGCATAAATTCGGGAACATGTGTGAAATAAACGCCCCAAATTCTTCAGATAGGTCCCGTTGCTTGAACAAATGAAGGTTTTTAAGATTCAAAAGAATAAATGACGTGAATTCTTTTGCCCGAACAGGGACACTCTCAATTTGTAAATCACTCAGGTTCTGTAGATGTTTCATGTCTGTGATGCAGAGAAGTTTCGAGCCGGCGTACCCAAACATTACTTGTTTCTCAACACTTTTAACAGATACACTTCTTGACATCTTTTCGTAGAAAGTTTGTGCGAAATCAATATAACGATGGACAATGTGAAAGTCCACACAATTATTATATAATGCCAGTTTGCGAGTCACTTCAAATAAAGGATCTAAATCTGATTCCATTCTTGCATTTAAAAATAACAGCAGATAAACTGACTCCAAATGACCCCATAAATTAGCATCCAGAAAATCGAGAACTTTATACATCCTGCCGAATGAAGCAATTTTATCCGAGATACTGAGCTGTAACTTAGTAATCTTCCATTGAGGATTATTCTTAAGGACTGCAACAGATTTCACTGCCTCTTCAATTCCAGTGGTCGCAGTTTTCACCTCAAGTGTGTACCTCAACTGCAGTCTCTTTATAATTACGTATAAGTCCCTACAAGTCACCATCAAAGAGACAATATCAGAGACATGATCATGGCCCTCGAACAGGATAGGTTCGGTTAAAAGCTGGCATATGCACTGAAGTACATATTCTGGGAGGTCACAAAGCTTAAAAAAACTCATCACAACTGAAAAAAACTGCAATAATAACTTCTTTGTATCGAACTCAAAAAAGCCAAAAAATAGAACACTGTATAAAGCTCCTTCAATTAACAGGTACTTACACGCTAGCCAAGAGAGTCAATGTACCGTGAACTATTAACTAGATGCACAGTCGACTGCAGCAGTGCAACTTTCCAACACATACAACGACCAGAATCAAAAACGACAGGTAAATTTTATCAACACTGGCAATATTCAGAAGCTACCTGACTTAAACAGAAAGAGAACAGAAAAACTGTCAAACACTCTAACAAAACAAGGAAACTAAAGTAAAGCTTATAACAAAGAAAAGGTGAACCCCCATAGGTCACAATATTCATAAAAAGAAAGAATAAATTTCTCCGGTCACTCATTACATAAATTTATCAAATCATCGTTATAAGAAATAATTAAAATGAGACTCTGAGAGGATAGACAACGGGGCCATATGGCCCACAAACGCCTACCCTAGCTGTGCATGCTTCTTTCACTATCAGGAAAAGATTTTTTTTTTAAATGTTTTTAGAATTTGTTGAAAATTCGTAAATTCATCCATACCTCCTAAGCTACGAAGCTACGAGCATTTGGACGATCAAGTATTTTCGTTCTAATCAGAATCCTATATTATACCTTCGTAAGCAGGCAACCGCAGGTAAAAAAGAAAACAAGCCTAAATTTTAAATTAGATTTTTTTTTGTAAGTTTTCGAATTTTTTTTAAATCGTAAAATCGTCCATATCTCCTAAACTAGGAATTTCTGGAAGGTCAAGTTTTAGCGTTAGAACTTCAACCTTAAAATACACACCATTAGCAAGCAACTAAGGGTTCAACAAATTTTCTACTTATAATTTGAAAATGTAATCGAATTAGATTTTTTTTTTCTAAGTATTTGAATACATTTTTTCAAAAATCGTAAAATCGTCCAATATCTCCTAAACTAAGATTTTTTAAGGGCATGTTTTGGCGTTAGAATCTCAACCCTAGAATACACTCCAGTCAGCATGCAACCACGCGTTCAAAAAATGTCTATTTTTAATTTGAATATGTAATCGATTAACTCTTCATTTTGCACTAAAAAGACAGTTTGAAATGTATGATAAAATGTTACTAATTCTGTTTTCGAATATCTTTCAATATCCTCGGGGATTAACTTTTTCGATTTTTTTTAACAAATGGGTTCAGCTAATACTTTTTTTTCGACAGTCTCGTGGCCCTTGTTTTCTTTTCAAAGGAGAACATATCGTTTAAAAAGCTTTGAGAGAGAGACTTTGTGACAGCACGAACTTGAGTAGTTCGTAAACATTCATTTTAAACACCGATAAGAATTTATCCTATAGAAAAATATCACGAAAACATCGCTACGCTTTCGAAAATAGATGAAGTTAAGAATTTTTTTTTTGCAGTAGAAATAAACATTCAAGCGAACTGTAGCTACAACAACTGTATATCAGAAATCCATATTGAATGATAGGAACCACATTACTTCTATAGTATTCATAGCTCCCAAAATTTAAAAAAATCAGTCACATAAGTCCCAAAATTTATCTTCATGAATTCTGATTGGTTGAAATTTGAGCCAACGAATATATGAATTGATGAATTACTGTTCAAGCAGCATCAATTCAAGCTGCAGAATATTGACCGCCGCTCCAACTTGCTGCGAGCTTGCCAACAGAGGGTAGGACTATACGAAATTTGAAGCCGGTTATCGCCCCGAACCTTCTGCTTTCTTTTGGGACCGAAGGGACTCATTTTAGAATACGCACTAACGAAAACGGTGGCGTTCCTCATGCTGGAGGGACCAAATGCTTGAAATTAACGTTACAAGCATTTGGTCCCTCCAGTTTGTTTCAAATCAGTCCTTTCAGATTACTTTCAGCCGATCAGAATTGAGTATTCAAAATCAGAATTGAGTAAATCGCAAAAATCTCAAAGTAAGAAAAAAAATTCAGGCCATTAGTGTTAATACTGACAGATTAGATAATAAGCAGATGAGTTTTCAAGAATGAAAGATTCTTATGAACTTGAACTCATAAGTTTTGATGTTTATCTGAATAGTATTGCGATTGTAACCCGAAATTTGTAATATTTTTGATTATTTTCCACTGATTTAATACATTTTCTGTAAGCCACTAGGAAAACTTAGCGATTTTGATTGGGCGAAAATTTATCAAGCATTCAGTCCCTCAAGAATGAGAACCCTCCGCAACGAAAACGAAACAATTCCGCATGTGAAAGATAATGTCAACAACTTCTACACCAAAGGATACTGCAAATCCACTGACAGTATCAGCGAAACTCAACCACATTTCACTGTCCTGTGATATTACCTTCAGACCGGTAGCTTCAACTTCACGAAAAAATAACAACCAATCATGGCATCCTTCCTTCAATTCCTAAAGAAAACCGAGCAATCAGCTTTGACGAACTTGTCGATAAAGCTAGAACAAAATGAATTACAGGAATTCAGCAGAAAATGACCACTGATCAGGAAACAAGAAGAAACCAACTCAAAGGAATCGGCTTCACTCTCCTTCATTAGTGTTCGGCCCGATAGGATTACCGCGCACGTTACAAAACGCCTCCGCGTTTTGTGGCAAAAGGTTCGGAGACAAGGATTCATGGGAAGGTCCTCTCAGCAACAGCAACTTGGAAAAATGCTCCCAGTGTACTTAAGTGGAATCAACCGCCTTCGCCTCTGTCGTCTATATCATTTACATAAAGAAGATTACAAGCCACAAAATGTTTCATGTGCACTTATGAGTAGCACCTTTGGAGCAACATACGAACACAAAACTCTAATTACAAGCAGCGTTGATATGGGCCCGACCTAAGAAACTCGTTAAAGTTCAACCACAACTCAGCATTGACCAAAAAAAAACAATTCATAAACATTAGCAGCACAATTCCTCAATGCTGGATCTAAACACCGACAGCAGATTTCGTATTGGTGAAGTACTAGACCTCTCATTAGCCTATAAATAGAAACATCGATCAAGAAATCCTAGTCCCACAAATCTTCACTGATTTCTCCTCAACTTACTG